GCTGGTGGTTTCAAACTGCTGGCCTTGCAGTTAGCAGCTCAACATATAAGCTGCCAGGGATCCTAAACGTCATTCAGCTGAAAATATACAGATATGGGATGGAATGACCATTCTTACATACTTGTGTTTAAGCAACTTTCTAACCACACAAAAAAGGTGGGTTATCAAGAGGGCAAAAAGGGAGGCCCGTGAGCAGATCAATCCCTGCTTTCAGCTCTGACTCATAAAATCAAAAGATGGGAGACCATTGTCTAGTGGCCTCTCTAAAATTGGCCAGTGTGGTTGAACTAGGATAGGGACAAGTCTTCCATGAAAAGAGAAGACAGCCATCAATATGGCAAATATTGTGACCACTCATTGAAAAACAAACGAACTACATTTCCCAGCTCCACAAAACATTCCCTGTGGTTCTCAGCCTTCCTCATGCCACCACCCTTTCATACAGGTCCTCATGTTGTGGTGACCCCCCCAACCATAAAATTATTTTCGTTTCTATTTCATGACTGTCATTTTGCTACTGTTATGAATCAGGTGACCCCTGTGAAAGGGTTGTTCGACCCCCAAAGGGGTCAAGACCCACAGGTTGAGAACTGTTGCCTTAGATCTTTCACCCACAGAAAGGCCCCACTGCACTCAGGATGATGTGTGACAATAAAAGCATATCTTTGGGCCAAGGAGCAGCTTTTTTGAGGTGATGGGCTCTGGCCAATGTATGCTATACACATCACACCCTGCAGGATCTTCAGTCTTCCTTAGAGTGTAATGGCAGAGACGAAGGCAGAACAATGATGAATTTATATGATTCAGGTCCCAGAGCACCTTCTGTGCACCAATATTGTGTTTGGCACTGGTGATAGAAAGAGGGGCGCGTGTTGTCCTGCCCCAGCACATTAATCAGCTGAGTTAGAGCTTAGGGGGACTCCTGGTTGCTTCTTTAGGGGGTACAAAAAACCATCTCTCTTGCCTGTCTATGAACTGGACACCAGGGTAGAGTTTCATAAAATACATGACAAAATTTTGGAAAGTATTTGATAGTAAAACAAAATAAGAACATTCTAATAGTTATCATGGAGTATGTGAAGACTTTGCTGGACTCTTGACTATTAGTTTAAAACTTTTGAATGTTACTCTGAAAGCATGCTAAGAAACAAGAATGGGGTGAAGGACTCCCATCATTTCCAAGTTCTGGGCTCCTAAAGGTTTTAATCTGATTGGAGACCTGAAAAATCAGGTTGTTGGGTGGACTGAATTAGAAAAAACATTATGTTAAAATGCCTGATACACATTAAGTAGGTGCTCAATAATGTCTGTCCAAGGGAAAATATTTATCAGTTTCTGTTATTACTTGGAGTTTTTTACTGACACATTCTTAGAGCTCTGAATAAATGCTGTGCTGAGCTTCCTCACTCTCAACAGGGTTGAGCATGTGACATCTGGCTAAAGTTTTCTGTGATTTCAGCAAACGGTGCTCAGCAATCAAGAATTATTTATGACTTTCTTTTTTTCTTTGAGGATTACCGACTGAGGAGTCAAAGGCAAGTTTATCAGCTTTGGAGCCATGTGCATGACACCTGACCAAAGGCTGGGATTACCTGGTGTCCCCACGTGGGCACACTATCTCCACGTGTCAGGAACATGTGATAGCTCTCTGTCACCGACAGATTGCCAAGGAAGAGAACTTGTGCATGTTCCACTTGCCTGCTGAGGTGCATTGATTACACCAATGTCATATCCAAACTGGAAGGAGGCCAGGACGGTGGTGAAGATGGTGAAAACCAAGGTCCCGGTGACCTGGGGAGAGAGAAACGCAGGGCAGGAAAATGAGTAGGTAACTTCACTCAGCTGTCACCTGGCTGTCCACAGCGCAGATTGTTACAGTCTGGTTCCTTCCCCTGGCTACCCACAGTCTGCTCTGTGCACTGGAGAACAGGAGGGTCATTTATCCCTTCCCCACCCTGCAGCTGAAAGCTTGTT